TAGAACCCTTTCTGTCCGACGACTCTAGCCATCTTCGGTGGAACATATTATTATAATATTTGTTTTGTATTTTAGTGATAGTAATAATAATACGTCGTTTTCGGACACAGTATCCTGCAAGGCGCGAGTGTTATTGGTCCTTGAACTACTTGACATGGCGCTACGAGACAGCTCTATATTATTAGATATAAATAACATTTATAAGATATAGTTATGCGATTACGATTGACGGAAATGTATAATATTATATTTTACATATTATTATTGTACCAAAAGTTAAATTGTCGAAATAATAATCGGTTATTAAATTCTTCCGATTTCTTTTCATATATATAATTATTACCAGACGACGATGGAGGAAAATACAATAATCATCTCATTCGCTATATATGTCTATGTTGCAACAACAAACGCGATGTATTATAGTAATAATTATAATATTATTGTTCGACGATAAAGAAACGCGGGCACGTGCAGGCGTCACAATCATTTTGTTTTATCTATAAATGGCGTGAAAAGTTCGAGACATTTATTCGAGTTGCCGCCTACGCAATAATTATTATTGTCGTCGTCGTCGTCGTTTATGTTTAGCGGAAAATGTAAGCGTACCGATCCATAATATTATAAATAATAATTACAGTAAGTTTAGTACTTACATGAGTATGTATAATTTTATCTGGATGCGACGTTGTTGCGTTTAGGCGAATTCCTTGGTGGACCGGTTTTTTATTTTTTTTTTTTTTTACTCGACCTTCACCTGTACTATTATTACGCTGTATAAGTATATCTAAACACGAGTGTGTGTATGTGTGTGTATTTTTTCCCATTGCGTTTAAAGAGGAAAATACAAATCGGTTGACCTTTGTAATAATAAATTATTCAAATCACTGTCGAACTGCATATTAATATATTATCATTACACGCGCTCACTTGTTGTACTTCTCGATGATAATGCGTTGCGCCGTCTTATGTCGTTTTAAGTTTTTGTATTCGTTATCGCTTTAGATCTACCGCCGTTTCTGCATACTCGTCGTCACACCTCCTTCGCTACAATAATATATAGGTAGATGATTTTCGAAATTCGGGTACCTGTGACCATGTATTTAATTGTATAGGTTATACACAAAACGACGACAACTCGGCCCGTCAAATTGGGTAGGTACTACCTATATATAATGCTATCGCCTATCAGTAATCACACAATAATACATATATTAATAATTGTGTTCCTGTGTTGGTTAGCACCTACCAGCGTTCCCGAATGTACTCTGTCGAGATGAAGGTTTTTTCGTGTTGGGAATATAATATATATAATATTTAAATAGCAGTCCCGAAATCGAATCCCACTTACGAATTTCATTCCACGTAGATCGCATAGGTGTAGGTATAATAACGGAGTTTACGTCGCTGCAGTGCAACGAAAAACCCTATCCATACAATTATACGAGTTGGTTAAAACAAAATAAACGCTCACAACTATAAAGAAGTAGCTACCTATTATAAGTCGTAGTAATCACGCATAAACCAATTTAGATTTCAGATAAAACTGAATAATTAGCTACCTCAGTATATATTATATATATACATATTATATATATGTGTGGTGTGTGTGTGTGTGTATTATAATATAGAATTATTTTTCGCATTAGTATATTTTTAGTGTAATTACTACAACGATAATAGTAGTTATTATACTTTCGTTAATTAATTCAAGTAAGTAGGTACATGAATTGAACTACACGAGCCATTCCCAAAGTTAGTTGATTTCTATGGACAATCGCGAAGTGAATAGATTATTAAATAGATCAACATTAGACCTTTTTTTTTATATACAGAGTGATCTAATATTCATCAAGTAACAAAAATATTTATTTATGTCATTTTTTAATTTTTTAATAATTACGAACTATACGTTTTCACCAAAAATTCAAATCTGTGTTATTTTTTAGTTGGCTTTTAACGGTAACCCATATATTTGGTCTGTTTAAAAAACAATAGTAAAAAACCTTCTGAGCCATAATTTAGAAACTAAAATTCACGAATATTAATACTTTAAAAAAATTAAATAGGTCAACAATTTGAGATATCAATATATTACTATCAACTGAGTTTTTTAAACCGTGATGATTGCTGAATTAATTGTTATAGCTGATAAAACCTAAGCTTGTAATGTGTAGTTTGTTTAGTTTTTTTTTTTTTTATGTTAAACGACGCGACTAGTAGTAGCCAATAATATAATCGATTTACTTCTCTTTCGTTAATTTCTTTGTGTTGCGAATAAAATAAACCGATAAAAGTTAATTGTTAGATGACAGTATCGGACAGTATACAGGTATACAACAGCGTAGATACGGTACGACAGCGCTCAGATCACTGCAAAATAGAATAGAAGAGTCATATCTCTCTTTCATAACCTTTCATTCGCAGGGCGAGTGACCTAAATAATTCATTTCCGATGATAAAAATACCTACTCGTCGTCGTTTGGTCGGATGGTCACAGACCGTAGTTATAATGTATCGTTTAATAGCGAATCGATAGTGTTATCTTTGCACTGTCATCTGCCCGAGTTTTAGTCGTCCGGCGTGGTATAAAATACCCACACACGTGCCAATAATTAGTCCATCGTTTGGCACTCGTCGGAACAGCTCGTCGAAAATCGAAAATATCACAATAGACTCGTCGGGAAAACGTAAAGGTGGGGCTGCATGGCTTAAGTATATTACCTATATATAATATATAAATTATATACACACATTATCACACATTATATAATATACACTCAGGATTTTGATGGATACTAAACTTAAAATGTCCAAACTTAGGAGAGATTAACTCACGAAATGCGCGATTAAAATATATATCATATAGTGCATCAAGCAAACTATAAACACATTGAGCCCATTATAAACGATAGGCTCGGGTATTATGATTAAATTTTTCTAAATTAAATGTAACTTACCTCATAACAATACATTTTAGCATTAATTAAACTCATACACAATGTACAATGTAGATAATCGTACCTGTCTAAATGTAATACTACATAATATTATAGGTATATTTTTTAAAAAATATTGCAACTTAATAATATAATATTATGTTTACCAGTCTGCACTCTTATATTATTATATTCCCATAAACAATTGTCTACGTAAAAAATTAATATTCAATTTAAATTTAAAAACACAATCCCGCAACCGAACAAAAGTGCAGTGCCGTATTATTATTATACTGCACATGTCGGAAAACAATTTTCATAAAATAGACGTCGCACACACGATGAAAACGGAAAACGTTCGAGAAAAATAGCATTTACAATGTTTATTGCATTCGCATTCCCGGAAATACTCTTCGACTGAGAGTGCGTTTTGATAGATGCATTGTGGATAACGTCATTTCATAAGGTTAGCAAAGGACAAAATATGTAGGTACCTACCTATAATCCTCTCGTTCTCCGTCCATTTAGTTTAAAATAAATATATATTTTCCAATATTATTACGATTTTCTATAGTAAATGTATGTCCTGACTCCTGAGGCTTGTCAGTTAAGCCTTAACTCATCTTCAACATTATGTGGTAGTGCATTTAAACATATTATTATTATCTATGAAAAAAATAATAATCAGATACTGAATGCAAAATATTGCTATATTTAATCAAATGTAAAACAACACTGTTAAAATGTGAACGCACTATTTAAAAACGATAATATTATTTTTATTACTTAATTTCGTTAATAATAATTTATGCTTTTGAAAGGGGAGCTGTGCAGCCATGTATCTAACTTTATTCATTATTGTTATATTTTTTAAGCTTTATTTATATATATTATATTTATGTTAAAATGGTTGACAGCAATAAATAAATAAACAAATAAATAAATAAATAAATAAATAAATAAATACAAATACAAAATAAAAATGTTTATAAAATATTACAATTATTTCATGATATTTCTGTTTATCTTTAAATAATCAGTCATATAATAATAATTCTTTGTTTTTGACTAATATCACCGAGTCGATCAATCGTATGGTATTGGATATAACTTATGAGTTATAATAGTTATTACTTATTAGCCATCTTACAACCATATGAACGTTTATACTCGGTAAGGACCGTATTTTGCACGGTTCGATCTTGTTCAGTATCATTTCACACCTGCATTAAGCAGTCACATCTCACAACTCCACGTCTCCATTTAATAATATATAATTATGGAAATATTATTAAATTCTCTAGCTGTGTTCGTAATTATGAGATCCGATCTCTTATTGTACCTATACCTACTTACCTATGTGATTTGAAGCACGTTTCACATAGATACGTTCTTATATTTGAAATATAAATATTCATTGCTCTATGCACCTTATTGACAAAGTCTAAAGCATATCTAGCTAGGTACAATAATAAACGAATGCCGAATCGATTATAATCTATGATATTCACCAACCGCGTTTAATGCGGCTTTTACCATTGGCAAAACTCCAATAATGATAATATAATATTATTATGTAATATGTAAATATTCAATCCGATCGTGTCACGTATTTACTTTGTCCTTATAACCATGATTTAAATAATTGACACATTAAAATATATATGTACGACATTCTTTGCACTTTGATTACCTACCTAGTGAATATAGTTTATAATGATGAAATCATAAAAAATCGTAAAACATACCTACCTAATTAGTAGTATAAGGTGACAGACCGATTTCGGCCTTCACTCAGAATCGTTTTTCCCGTCCATTTATTTATCATTTAGTTCAAATTTAACAAATTATATGCACTACACTACTACAGTGATTATTATGACTCCATGAAGATGTACACTCTGCAACTGTACACCAGAGTTGATACCTAATTTTCCCCATTTTTTTTCAGTTTAATGTTTAAATTAAACTTTGAAATCTCGAATTTTCAATGCCAAAGCTACGGGGACAGGCCACTTATAGATAATTTTTTTATTGCAGGGATAGAGCATATAGTCCATAATGGCAATCACGGTAGTCTCGACTCATCTGTATCCTTTGGAAAACGCGGTGGAACATCACTCCGACCGTTTCGAATTGATACAGGATGGATCAACAGTAATATTTCGCCGCGGACAACCATTTTATTTTGGCATTAAGTTCAACAAGCCGTTCGACAAGACCAAAGACATCGTCAGAATCGTTTTGGTGACAGGTGAGCTATAACATGGTGATGGCATTTTATGTTATTGAATAAAAAATAAGCAACAAACCTATAATAAAAATATTACATCACAGTAGGATAAATTAAATAAAAATTCGACGTTTAAAATCGTGGGGATCCTTTCGTGTCTAGAATCGTTTTGCATACCTAGCATATTATTATTATTTACATTTTTTTTTCAATGGGGGGAAAAATGGAAAGAGGGGTTTTTTTTACAAAAATGGTTAACGGAAACAAAGGGCGTTTTGTAGGAAAATAATTGCCCAGTTCATAATACCAATAATTGGTTAATGCCCCTCGTTTTGGTGGTGTGGGTTTATTATTTTTTATCCAACTCAGTTACCGCGACATTTAAAATTAGTACACCATCTCTCGGGGGTCATGACGATGACTTGTCAGTCTCTACATTAGTAGCTATTTATATTTTATATACATATGAACTTACATTGGGTAGTTAATTTGTACGTTGATATATTTCATTCTACAGGACCGACCCCGACTCCTGCCAAGGGCACGAGCGCCGCGCTTATTGTCAAAGATAAAGAGGACCTGATAGCCGACAGATGGGACGCCCGGTTCAGCAGCTTCACCGGGTCCACCGTCACCATACAGGTAAGACAATAAAAGTTTTTTTATGTTATTAATTGTTTCATTATAATCAGGATGATTTTAGCACCCCACCCACCCCCCTTATATTCGATCAAACCTATAACTGAGGGCACATGGAACATTTCGGAGAGTATACTAAGTTGCAACTAATATAATAATATGATATATAAATTACTATATTATTATTATACATGATATATTAACAAAGATATTCAACGGTTAGCTTAAATTAATGGATGTGCCCTAGTTGGCGATTCGCATCTTTCATTTGATAGACTGGTGTGCGTACTCAGTAGTAGATCTAAGCCCAAAATATTATATGTAATATAAATATATAAAATATAATATGGAAATCCTCCCCACTGAACCTTGGCACCGGCTGTATAGGTATTCTGTCGGTACAGAATCGGTATAATACCTAGATATATAGGTACATTATTGGTACACCAAAAATGTTTTTTGGTCATTGCCGATAAGACGTAAAATCAAGTGATTATATAAATCAATCATAAACAACTTGTACCCATTCCAGGTGCAAATACCGCCCTACGCGCCTGTTTCCGTGTGGAAAATGATCGTGCACACGGCCAAGAAGGGTGTGGCCGGAGTCAATCAACATCAAATAGACAAGGCCGTCTACGTGCTGTTCAACCCCTGGTGCCCGAGTAAGTTATAATATAGCCACGTATTGAGTGATCAATTTTTACAGAGTTGTCTGTGTGGGGGTGAGGGTGTAGGCTATTATTGATAAACGATATATTATATTATAATTATACAGAGTACAGAACCGCCATGGTAATCGGTCATCTCAGAAACTCCCCTAAAACACTATGATTAGAAATGTTTGATGATAAATATTTCTTTGCTACCCATCCTAATTATAAATCGTCGTCTTCATCATCATGATACACGTTCGTTTGTCCTTGTTACACTTATATCGTTTTGTTTTTCTTTCATAAATAAAAATGCTAATCCCGAAGACCGATCGTCGACTTGCGTCACACTAATGGTAGATTTATCGCTATCCTCTCCCGCGATAATCCCAAACATTCAGGTGTGTACTAACTTGAGCATGTTTTTTCCAGACGACATTGTCCATATGAATGACGAAGAACAGTTGGAAGAGTATGTGCTCAACGATAACGGCAAAGTGTGGCAAGGTACGTACAAAGAACCAAAAGGATACCAATGGTTCTTCGGACAGTTCGAAGCGGTAGTCCTGCCGTCCATCATGATGTTGCTCGACAGATCATCTATCCCGCACCAAGACCGGGCTGACCCGGTGAAAATGGCTAGAAGCATTTCGGCAATCGTAAGCTGCTCGTTTTTACACACTTATCATAATTATTTCGTACTTTCATGATGATTAAATTATTATATATGACACCATAGTAAGGCGATGCATACATCATAGCAATAAAAGCGTTATGTAAAAAATTCTCGCATTATGACTTGTTCTTCACAACTTCGATTAAAAAAAAAATTATCTGTCATCATTCTAATCTTATCAGAACCCATTTTGAACACCTAACTGCTTATTTTTAGACAAATAACGTGGACGACAATGGTCTAGTTGAGGGAAAATGGGACGGTTCGTTCGAAGATGGTACCAGTCCATTTGCATGGATAGGCAGCACCCCAATTTTCGAAGAGTTTTACAATACTCAACTACCAGTGAAGTATGGACAGTGTTGGGTATTTTCCGGTGTCATCGTTACAAGTGAGTGTTACACGCGTATTCGTATAATATTTGCAACGACTTTTTACATTCCAATCCGGGTTCAATAGAGCTTAAGTAATGGCTGTAATAACTCCAGTGAGGCAGTGAAAGTGATGTACCTATCTTGCCTAACTAAAACGCCGTGCGATCGAAATTGAGTAATAACAATGAATACATTGTTGGATCTCAGGAAAAAGTAAAATTCAGGGACAGTGAAGAATTATTATATCATCGCATAATAATATAAACTCTACTGAATTCTTTCTTTATGGTATTTTCACTGCAAAGTCAAATTGACTTTCTACCACCTTAAGTTAATACTAGAAAATGCAAATGAACTTTATTTACTTAAACTCTATTAAATTCGGCTTGCTGAGGCTCGGAACAGCTGCAGCGGTGGTCGTATTCAAGTGTTTACTCTCGATTCTAAATGTTGGTGGTCACGGTGTGTTGCAGTTTGTAGGGCACTGGGAATACCTTGTCGGTCGGTGACCAACTACATGTCAGCGCATGACACTAACGCCAGTTTAACCATCGACACTTATATTGACGTGAACGGCGAGAAGCTCAACAACCACCCGGGAAGCTATACGAACGACTCATGCTGGAACTTCCACGTGTGGAACGACGTGTGGATGGACAGACCTGACTTGGCCAAAGGTTACGGAGGATGGCAGTCTATCGATGGGACGCCGCAGGAGACGAGTGACAGTAAGGAGTCTTGGCATTTTTTTTATACACGATAAACGTGGTTGATCGCGTATCATCTGTATCACGGGCACCTGTAGATTTTTTTCGACGACCTAAGTACGAGTGACCCGATTGAAATAATACGTAATCGTAAACACCGTTGACATTTCAATGAGCGGTTTTCATAGAATTTCATTATGGTATTTCACTGCAGTGGGAACCCTGCAGTATAATATTGTGTTTATTAATAAGTGGATTTCGATATTATAATATTATATTACTTTAACGTCTTAACATGGCACATTAAGCGTCCAGAATAAATTTCGAGACAAAAAATGCACAGCAAAATCAATCACGGTGGATTTATTTATTATTATGATCAATATGAATTCACAATACAGACAAACCTAACAAATAAGTTTTTATAATATTTGAATACCTACGACGTGCATTAGTTATTTTTATTAATATTACAAAGGAAAAATTTTAATATTGATTGTATATTTCCTATTTTCAATTTTAAATCATAATAATATACCATTTCCACTTTCGCTCAGTAAACGAAGGTACCTATATAATGAAAAAAAAATACGAAAAGAATCATTTTTTATATAGTCAAGACTGTGCAGGACTTTTAGGCTTCGGCTTTTTATCAACCTGCACAGGTGCCAAACATTTTACTCCCAGCACTATTAGTATATTATGATAGGCATACGACGAGACAATTGACATTTTAACAACCCTAACCAACACGTTTCTGGCACCCAACAGGTATGTACAGATGTGGTCCTGCTCCCGTCGAAGCAGTCCGGCGTGGTGAAGTCAACATCGGGTTCGACACGACGTTCGTTTACACGGAAGTGCGAGCCGACATGTGCGTTTTCAAGGAATCGGAAGACGGATTTTGGTCCAGAGTAAAGACGATACCGAATTAGTGAGTACTGAGTGCATATAATAAAGGCTTAAAGCGATACCACTAAAAGTGCAAAAGTGTGGGTATTCCCTATTTCCCTTACCTTTTTCCACCAATAACCGTTTCCACCAAAGAGAACAAATTGACCAAAATGACCAATTATACTTTTCCACTTTCTACTAAAACAATTGCTATATCATTAAAATTACATGCTGTTGAACAATAAATTTATCTAAAATACAATAAAATATGAAACAAAAAGTATATTTTACGTTTTAATATTGTAGAATAATTTATTGTAAGCAATACTAAGAAAAATAATGGAATTCTGTTTTGTGTAGTTAGGTATATTGTATTTTTTTTAATATATTATAATGATAATCTATAATAGTATACCTAATAATATACAGATTTTGGATATTTTTGTAGTATTTGAAATGAACTTTCTATATAACAGCATTAATTATTAATAGTACCTACATAAATTGTTTTGTCAGTTTGTATAAAAGGTCATACATTTGATAGAAACAGGTACCATCGATATATTAAAATAATAATATTATAATACTGGTATAGAGTACCTACATTAAATTTCTATTATTACCAATGGCCCGAGCCAGCCACGTCTAGGTACAATTTTTAAAAAAGTAATAATATGTCAATCGAACTTTTATGGTACTGATGTTTTGGGTATTTTTATACTGATAACCGAAAATTTTCTTTTCGTGAGTAGGTACTCAACCAATTGTATTTACTCTAACAACAATATATAATACTGAACTATTACTGTATTATACTTATAAGTTATAAGACTAGCTGTTCATAACATTTTTGAACAAATGAAAAAAATTTACTGAAAAACTGATAATATCATACTATACCTACGTTAAAACTATTTCGTTGGATTTTGCTCTGCTTATATAACCAGGGACTGGAATCAAACCTAAAAGAACTGATTCTGGAACAGGAAATTTTAAAATATCAAGAACCAGAACCGGGACCAAACCCTTTATTTTAATAAATAAAGTACCTTGATCGAACCGGTATTTTTAAATTAAAAAGGTACTTTTGGAGTACTTGCCATAACAATAAAACGCGTATACGTAATATTATAATATAAGTATAATACTATAATACAATGATATCATAAAATATACTTAAATTTTGCAGCTAATAACTCATTGCAATTAATTATTATAATATGTAATATTACCTACCATATAATAACAAACCACAAACCATATACCTAATGCATAACATGTTTTATTTGTAGTGTCGGAAAACTAATCGTGACTAAAAAAATTGGACAAGAAGTGTTACCCGAAATCGAAGACATGGAAGACATTACTGAAATCTACAAAAATCCTTTCGGTATGAATGAAGACTAGTTATAATAATATTAATAATAATATGTAAATTATAGTTGAAATTATTATGTCACGTCTACGAGATATAGAGAGGAAAACAGACTACATACAATAATTAATATAGTATCACAAATCGAGCCCAACAAAAATCCACTTTTTTTTTTTTAAATGACACTTTTCATTACTTCTGAAAATAATAGTAGCTGCCCAATAATAATTTAAGAAAAATGATAATACTTACCGAAAACGTCGAAAACGCCCGTAATAGATGGATGTAAATAATATTATTATGTGATAATAATATAATCATACGAAATCGTTTTGTACCTACAACGAAAAAATAAACCGGAAAAACATTTTTACACTAAATACATAATAATACGTCTTAGCACAATATTACAAGTCGTTTATCAGTTGTATAGTTACGATCGACGGACACGCACAGGGCGTATCAAGACAAACATTTTTATCGTTATTCGAATAGATATTTGACATTTTGACCTTCTACGTCGTGGTCACAACGATATTTATACCTACAACTATTTAAAAGGTTTTCCCTATTAATAACTGTCTCTATGACTCCAACAATTAACATATCCGATCAATTATCAGGGTTCGAGACGATATCAGAGTAAAATAAATGACCACACGTGTCAATTTCGTCGTAGACAATTTTTCAACTTTATAGATGTGCAACTATTATTAATTTTAGAGTTAAATTCACTAATATTGACGACGATCTGGTGGAAGTGGAGTTGGAGATTTTAGGAGAGAATAGTTGTAGATAAGTGCAATATTATAAGACCAGTATTTTTGGGCTAGTTGTGCCACTGGGATAGTGGTCATAATATTTTATTAAAGATATATAGATAGACAATATATAAGGAATTATTTACTATACGAAACTGACTTTGTTGATCTAGACTCACCTGAGGACAAATTGGCCGTGAAAAAAGCCATTAAGATGGTTCCGATCGCCCAGGATATATACGACATGGATGACTCACAAATCGAAGACGTCGAGTTCAAGCTCTCAGACATCGAACAGATCACACTGGGAGAAAGCTTCAAAATCGCGATGAGCATGCACGTAAGACAAGATATAACACATCATTATTTGCAATAAATACCTATACAAACTTTAAAAAAAAAAAAAAAAGATCGTTCGATAATAATATATTCAACATATTATTACTTAGGTATTATAATGGCATATTTAAAAGAGCGAATGACTACAGCGAAGACTTGAAATAAATGTATAGGTAGGCTTATTGAACTCTTTTGGTAAAAATTTATCAGAAGGAAATATATAAACACAAATCGGAATAGTATAAGTACTATTAGTATACTAGTTTATAGAATATGTATAGGTTAACCTAACCAGGTATACCTACGCAGGATCATTGCGAACCTCCAAAATAAGTACATTGTTGACTGTTTTTATAATGAGCTGCAACACAAAACCATAATGTGCAATATAATTATTATCTTCGACAAATAAAAGAAAAACTGTTTGGTATCAGGAAGCGATGGAGGGGGTGGTAATTAAGTGTCTAAATGAATATGTGCTACTGACTACAATATATAATTAGTACTTAGTTAAACTAAACCTTACTTACCTCACCACGTGGTACCTATATTCAATAGGTATATAATTATTATTAATTAACTATTATTACACAGAACACGTCGTCGGAACCACGGTCCGTTTCAATCGTGCTGTCGGCATCGTCGATCCTGTACACAGGAACGACAATCAACAAGTTGAAAAGAAGCGATGCGAAATTCGTCCTGAAACCCAATCAAAGTTAGTATTTCCCATAATATATTGTACATTATCTATGGTATTTCCCCGTGGTTCACAAGAGGGGCTTTTTTTAATTTTATATTTTTTACTGAGAAGTTTATGGTACAGCGAGAAGTATAAACGTATAAGAAACACTATTGAGTTGTGTTATGCCCCCTTAAACCCTTTAGTAATTATGGGACAGGTAGGACTGTTTGCAATTCTGGGTTTATCTCCCCCTACCCCTAAACAAATGTGGCTGCTGCGGAAATTGTATGAAGGTAAAAATAAAAGTATATAATTATATAATATATACGAACGATTTTTAACCGGCACCCATCCAGTCAAAGTTAGAAGCAACAAAAAAAAGGAGGACACTAGGTACCTGCTCTGCTGTACAGTAGGTAGGTGACGAGTGTACCTTATCTTTGAATAAGCACTAAACACTGTAATAATGTAATGTACCTATGTGGCTAAGTATTTGAATTCAAATATAGCTATAAATCTATAATCATTTTAAATTGTATATATCTACAAACTTTGTAGGTACCTGTAATCTATATGTATCTTTAATATTTTTAAATGACTATAATAATAACTTATATGAGGAACCTTGTATTACATTTTCAAACTTTTTGAAGAGAGAAAATTTTCCATCGATATTTATAAAAAAAAAACTAATTAAAACTAAAAATTTAAAATGTCTATAAATAGTTATTCAAAAATAGTGCAAATATGTTTAGCATTATACCATGACTATGTAAGTAGATACATTATAGAAAATACACAAACAAAAAAAAAACAAAAAACGCATCATTGTAAAATCAATACAATCTCGATCCGCTCCGAATTTAAAAGTACAAAAACTACAAAATAAAAAAACTCTAGTGCCATAATAAAATATATAAATAAATATTATATTGCATTCCATCGGATAGAATCTTACAGACATGTTATTATTATTGTCATCATAAACGTTTAACGGTTTCCGTCTGTTAATTTAGGAGAAAACGTCCACACTTTCGTGAAACCGTCAGAGTACATGGACAAAATGTCGTCGCACAGTTTGATAAGAATAACGGCCGTGGCCAACGTCGAAGGCACGGAACAGTTGTGGAGCCAAGACGACGACTTTTTAGTACAAAAACCGCAGCTTGACGTAAAAGTGAGTGTATAAATAAAATCGAGAACTGAATGTAAATATCTCGACGCAGTAGGAATTTGGTTGGGGGGGGGGGATATACGTTTTTTCAAACATGAATGGTCATTATCAATACTTTGATCTAAATGTTAGCAGTAAAAAAATAGATTTGGGGAGATCTATCCCCCTAATTCCCCCTAATTACGGCCCTGTCTCGACGACGCTTATGAAAAAAAATCGATAAAATACTAAATAGGCCACGAGCGTCTCAGACTAGCAAGGAGACATCCTACAGAAACATTACGACGGTAGGAAAGGAAGGGCCAACTCCCATTATTACCTATTTATTACGACTTGTTTAGGTTTAAAACGATGTCACATTTAAATAGTGTAGAAGTTGAAAAAATTTATAACCTGAATATTCACTATTACTGAATTTATTTTAACATTTTCTTTAGTTTAATAATTAGATATACCATTAAACAGTAAAATATATTATTTCCATTGAAAAACAAAACAAAATATTTACTATATGACATACTTTTAAAAAACTTTAGTAAACACATTTATAAAGTGAAATCCAATTGTTGACATATATCATTCGGATAGATCATAGATGGGTGGCTCTAGAATTTTATAAAAAAAATATTCATTATAAGTATTTATATATAAGTGTATAACCCCTGAACCGAGATGATATTATGCCATATCATCATGTGGAATTACATTTATTTTTCATTAGTTTCCAGCATTATATTATATTATATAGGTACAATTTCTAATCTTAATATTTGTCTTATATAGCTAAATTCAGAACTTCAAGTTAACAAACAGTGTGAAGCAACATTTTCTTTCACTAATCCTCTATCTGTTACTTTGACGGATTGCACATTCAGCATTGAAGGCCCAGGAATCCACAGAGTCATCAAATTCAGGTAAACACTATAAGCACCATAGTCATAAATTCATAATATAAATTATATTATTTTATGTCTATGATAAGCACCAATACCGCTACCACATACCAAATAAATCATAGCATCGCTACAATAATAATGTCTTGTTAATGTATTTTTTTAAATATATATTATTTGTTCACATAGAGACGTCATGCCTAACGAAAAGTATGTCACATACACGGAAACGTTCACGCCAGAAAATGACGGCCAGCGGACCGTCACGGTGTCTTTCAACTCCAAACAGCTCACAGACATTAAAAACACCATTACAGCCACAGTATTACCGTGAAAAAATCATAATATTAATGTTAAGGAAAAATTAAAAATCTGTTAAAAATCTTAAGAAAAATAAAATGTTTAAACTGTATAATAAATATAATAAATATATAATTTCGACAAAATTAAACTTGTTATTCACAGTGAAATCTTCAGAAAAACAAAAACTATAATTGAGATTAGAGATACAACAATATCACTTTAAAATATTACATAATAATATGTAATTGTACTTGTATAGGTACTGTTTAATATAAACATATAAATATAACTATAAGTAGCTAATAAGATATGGGGATTTTTATGGGGACAATTTATTGGGCAAGTACGGTCACCGAACCAAGAATTGTTATATCTCAGGGTCTAAGGGCCGCTTTCACCACTACTTTAAACTTCGATTAAAGTTAAACAGGGGCTTAATCGGCCGAATTTGCCCGGTTAAATATCTGTTATCAGTCAATTAAGCGTAATCGAAGTTTAAGACGGTACAACTTACCCTAAATGTTATACCTACTACTACAATAAATGGATGCATGAACATATATTTACTGCATTATGTCAATGTCTCAAATTTTTAAAACAAGCTAATTTTAACTTATAAAACATATGCACAAATAAAGGGAAAAATATTTTTTTAAGCAATGGTTCACACGAAAAGTTTTCTTTATAGATAGTTACTGAAAACAAATAACAATAGATAATACTGAGTTGTATCATTGATTATCACATGACAGGGCTCGGATTTCGGTGCATTTGCATCTTTTTCCCGGAATGCTCAACATTATGCGTTCCAACTTCCAACCATTGACTGAAACCTTTTGAATTTATCGGTATCGGCTCCAGTACTGGTTCTCCAAAAATAAAATAACTGTTCCGATTCGGTTCTGGTTTTTCGATAAAAAAAAAATAATGGTATCGGTTCCAAATAATTTCAGTACCGGTTCCAGATAATTTAGGTACCAAAAAGTATAATAATTTTAAATACCTATCCGGATTGAAGGTTTAATTAATAGTAATAATAGTATGAGAAATATTAAAAAACTCATATGATCATACATAGTTTATACACAAAACAGTAAATAGAAATACCATTAAATTATTTTATTTTTTGAACCTAAAAGAACCATTTTAATTTAAAAATTCCGATTCGATCCCAGTACTTTATTCATTAAAATAAAGGTTTTGATCCTGGTTCTTAAAATTTTAAAGGTTCAGGTTCCAGAACCGGTTCTCTTAGGTTCGGATCCAGTCCCTGGTACTAAGTCACAAATTTACGATTCGCAAATTTAACTTGATCTCTGAAGAAATCCGCGGTCAATTCCGGCGAATTTTACTAGGACATCTCTTAAGAGATTTAAGGTCGAAAATAATTTTTTGAAAGGGCATTTAAATCCGAGCCCTACATATTAATATTAGGTTCTATAATCGACATATAGACAAATTTTGGTGTATAATAAAGGTTTAGACATAATTTATTATTTTCAATGAGACATGGCATAATACTGGATTCATCCAACAAAGTATAAAAGGTTTTTTGAATTATAAAAGTGAAAACCATTTTATCAAAACGATGGAATATTTATATAAGCAAATAATAAACAAATACCTACTTGCTGTGCCTGTTGAACTACTGATGTTCTCAGAAGCCAGTAAGTTGCTTAAATTAAACTTAAAGGTAAATAATAAGCCAATTACTATATTAACCATATTATACCGTTCACCACAAAACAATAGGTTCAACCCCTACCCCCTCTTCCACCGACATTTCTCCAAGGCCTAGTATATTTTAGCTTATGTATATATATTGTAATAATGTAACATAGTAACCCCAACCCACCCCCGAAATTTTTTTTCTAGTTGCGCCACTGAGTAAAAATACGAACTTTCATACAGCAGCAATTAAAACTGCTATAACAGTTCAATACACAATGATTATTGTTAGTTTAATCGTTATTACGAGTAGGTAATCGATTTTCTAAAATGTTATAATTCGAAACAACCGAACAGTTCAAGGCTCGCGCTCACTCCCTCGCCAAGCACTCGACGACAGCGTTCTTCGCTACGTCCGCCCTAAGTTATCTCGAACATGTCGTTGTGTACATCTACCAGTGAAGTATACTGACAGTGTTGGGTATTTTCCAGCGTCAAAGTTACTACTTAATAGTGAGTGTTACACGCGTTTCGTATAATATTTGCAACGATCTTAATTCGATCAAATCAAGGCTAAAATTAATTTAGTAATGATCATCATGTATCCAGTGGAACGCTGCTAATGATGACGTACCTGTTTTGCCTATCTAAAACGCCGACCAATCGAAATTGTTGAGTTATTATAATTTGAACTTCATTAAAAAGCCAACTGTTTCATATTATATTTATGAATAATACATTTTTGAATGTTTAGAAAGTGCAATGTTGTCATGAAAAAACTAAATATGAACAATTACGTAGCTTATTTTCATTTATACAAAAATGTAGCTGCAATTATTTAAGCATATTTCGATAATTTTTAGTGCAACAAGTCAAGGTCCCGAACCCTAAATTAATTTATACTCGTAAACTGTAAAAACTTGGTTTTAATCTATACTTAAACACCCCCCATTTCATAATCCAATGGCGTATCTTTCAGCAAATTGGACCAAGGTAGTAGGTATTTTAGAAAAGCCATTTTTTAATTTTATAAATTATTATTTAATGCCACAGGAAAAACCCCCGACATATTACGAAATACCGCTAAAAATGGGATTTTAATTTCTAACGCTTTGTTTATCACTATAAAAACGAATAAAAAATAATAATTCTTATTATAATATAAATTCAACTTACAGGATATAATAAATATTAGCAATATCCACAGACAAAACCGTCTCCGCTCAAAATCGTTTTTCTTATACAATGATGTTAAATACAATCCTTTTTACATTGACCCACTTGTAACCTACTGTATAGCAGAGCGACATCCACTTAAATGTACCTATGGGTGGGTCGGTGGGTGTCATAATGAAATGTTGTCACACCTTTATTTTGGCGATCCGGCGCCATTGCTGTATGCTTACTTTTCATTAAAAAAATTAAAATATAATAAATAATTTTAAAATAACAATAACATTATTTTGTTTCATATCACGATTTTAAATAACATATTATGGTAATAGTCTTTTTAGAAGATTAGGTACCTCGAAATATTTTTATTTTTTATTATATAATCTTGTAAATATTGTAACTATAAATAAAACTTGTAAAATATTAATATTGACATTTTGCTTATCGTCAAAATATTATTAGGAAATGGAATATTTTATTTTGGAGATAAATTATAATATATAGGTAGGTAAAATAAAAAAAATGATTACTGTTAATGCATGAAAACTATAATATAAATATTAATAAATACCTAAGTTAAATTGTATTTAATATAGGTTAGGTACCTATATTACCTACCTACCTACCTATATATTTAAACTTTGAACATAGATTTGTTTTTAATTTAATTTTTCTTTAATCTCCACTTGATTTTTAATTTTTTCAATGATATTTAACATGACGTATAGTTTATACTTATGCTATAATTATATATTAGTAATTAAATATTATTAATGTGATATTTACACTAATTATAGCGTTTAAAAAATATTTGCTCAATCATTTTCATGAAGTGTTTGTAAGTAATATAAACTAATTTGTAGTCCGGGGATTTTTATTTTGATTACCACAGATATAGTATACTATTATTGTGAAAAATTAAATTTGAGTAAATAAATATTTTTTTTGTATGGTTTTTTTATATTTTTATGTGAATATATATGGGGGTGTGAGGCTAAAGCCCCCCCCCCCCCAAAAAAAAAAAAAATGTTAGCCCTAGTTGAGCCACCGGTACTCAAATATTACTTTTTACTGAGTATTCAAATACTGAATAATATAGTTAGCATGACTATGTATATTTAGGTAGGTACTGGTTTGTTATAGACCCCACACAGTGGTATAAAATACAATTTAGGTGCCCAAAAGTACTATTTTTAAGACTAAAAATGTTTGTTTTTTTTTCAATAATTTATCTTTACAATTTTCTGAGGCTAAATATAGAATTATTTCAAATTAATTATTTAACATACTACGCTCGACTCATAGAGCTGTTTGTATAAAATAATATATACATTTTTTGATTGATATTTACAAAATTTCATACATTTTTATATTATTAAGTTTTTCACTTGAGGCGATAAAAAAAAATATAATTTTATTTATACAGTTATTATATTATTGTACTAAATAATGTAATAATGAGTAATGAGAGTTTATTTTTGTATTTTAATATTTTTTTTTTTTTTTTAAGTATTTGCTATGTTAAGCCGCGTATACATGTGCGAGCCGAACCTACCGCGAACCACTCGCGAACCAATAACTCGCAAACCGTTCGCGCCGATCCATCGATAGTCGGTTTTTTCCACGAACACTTCGCGAGCGGTTCGAGGTAGGTTCGGCTCGCACATGTATACGCGGCTTTACGTTTGTAAATAATTTAATGGTTTTTAATCCTTGGAGGAAACAGGAAAGATACTTAAATTTATGCAGTTTTACCAATTGTTCAACATATACATATTGTAAAATATATTGATAGCTATTTAAAAATATGAAAATTTTTTGCATTCTGTTTCGACAGTAATTTACAAAAATGGTTTTCTTTAAATAAATATAACATAGGTACTATTGTAAAACCAATATTTTATAGTATTAAACATTTTTGTAAATTACTGTTGAAACTAAATACAAAAAAATAATTATATTTTTAAAGAACCATCATCTTTCTTTATAAGATATAATATAACTTTATATTATATATCAAACAATTAGTAAAACTGCATACATTTAAGTATCAATCTTCAAAAGTTCAAAAAGAAATAATACACGTAATATTTTGACAACATAATATAGCAAAATAAATACTGAAAAAAGAATTAATTGAAGTAAAAAAATAATCATCATTACATTTAAGACAGTATAATAACTGAACAAAAAAAGAAAAAAATTGTATTGTTTTAGGTGAGAAAATAAAATAATATAAAATCGTGGTTTTTACAAAAGTATGTTATATGAATTTAAAAAAAAAACAATTTTTGTAAATTATTATTCTAACTGCAAAAAATATTTATATATTTTTAAATACATATCAACTTTCTTTGCAATATAATATATCAATAGAACAATTGGTAAAACTATAAATTTAAGTATCATTTGTCAAAAGTTCAAAAACCATTAATACACTTAATATTTTGATCACATATAAATATAGAAAAATAAAACAAAAAAAAATTAATTAAAATTAAAAAATAATCTGTTATTAGGTATTTTATTAGGTATTAAAATTAGGAAAATATAGTAACTATATAAAAATAATAAAATTGTATTGTGACAAAAATTAAATAATATAAAAATGTATTGAAGTTTGAAAATATCAATCAAATAATGTATGTATTTTATACAAGGAGATCTATAGGTCTAGTGTATATTAAATAATTCATTTGAAATTCTATATTTAGCCTCAGAATATTGTTTTTATAAATTATTTATATAAACAATAATTTTTCAATTTGCCAATATAGTATTTTTGGCCAGGTAAAATTTTTTTATACCACTGGTGCCACTAATATATTTTTTTTTTTAATTGTATATAATAATATTGATTTATTAACATAAATAACACTATCCAGAATTTACATCAGGCCCTATTTTGTTAACAAATCTTTTAAATTAAATTTAATAATAATATATGAAATAATAAAATGAATAATATAAATCTATCTGACTTGTCTGATCTCTGATCTCAAAATTTGTCTAATCCTATACTTCAAGTTAACAAACAGAGTGAACTAACTTTTGCATTCATTAATCTGCTTTCTGTCACAACACGACTGACTACACATTCATCATTGGAAGCCCAGAAATCCATATTCCACAGAGTCATCAAATTCAGGTAAACACCTACTCACTAAACATCAAATTACATACATACATTATGCCCACAAATTATGCCACATCGCGGCTAATACTGTCTTATTAGTATTTTCAATAATACATTATTTGTTCTCATTCAAGTGTCAGAAAATGTTATAGGACCGTCATAGTATTTTTCAGCTCCTAACAGCTCAAAGACATTAAAAACACCATTACTGTCACAGTATAACTGTGAAAATAATCATATTATAATTGTTAAAAAAAATATAATAAACCGTTGATTAAGAAATAAAAAAAACGCTTAAGTTGTATAATAAATATAATAAAAATAATTTCGACAAGCTGAAGTTTGTTATTCGCAGCGAAATGTTCAGGAAGACGAAAATTATAATAAACATACAACAATCATTTTAAAATATTACATAATATGGCAATAATTTACAAGAATGGTAAATAAGTAATGTAAAAATAATATATGCAGAAAAAAAATTATAATAAATTATCTATAAGTACAATTTGTCTTAGTCTAAGTATTTCGTATAAAAGTCTTATGAAAATACAAAAAAAAATTTGTAAAAAAAAAATGTATGACAAATACTTAATCGCAAGTTGTTTTACAATTATTAACTAATAGTCATAGTAATTATCATCTACCCTGTGTTTTTCAATGTTACCACTAAGTGTAGGATCGGGTCTTCGTCTCTTGAAAAAACCTAATTTCCATAGTAGCAAGGTCAACAAGATTAACAACAAAAGCCCCACCAATATAGCTAGAATAATTATCCACCACGGAATTGGTTCATTTTCTTGTTGCAATAAATCCACTTTAGCAGTTGTCTCCACCTATGAGAACCATGTTAATTGAATTAGAACAAGCATTTGAATAAGGTACATAATCGTATTATTTAATTTTGAAAAACATTAATCAACATATTTCAATGTCTGATTATTTTATATTTTTATATTTTTATATTAGTTTTAGGAATAAATTAGGTAATAAAAATAGATTATTATATATAAAATTAATAAATAGATAAATTCATTCATAATATAATGTATTTAAATTATTTGATTTAACAATATTTTAAAATGTATTTCATATGTTTACAATTCTACCGTTTTTCATTAACTATCATACACCTTCAAACTACCAAACTAGGTGTAATGTTATGAATACAAATAACTTACTTCAAACTCATCGTCTGAGCGATTTTGTTGCAATGATAATTCAGGGGGTAAATGTATTTTTGCTCTCGATACAATTTGAACAGAATCAACTTTAGGAAACAGTTCTAGTAGAGTAGAATTCCACAGTCTGAAAAAAATTGAGTTAACTAAAATTATTAATTGCTTCATTTACATTCAGTGCGATGTCAATAACTATAGTGATAACTACAGTATGTTTACCCTATACAAAACCACAACAATGTCTTACCTAGCTTTAATAAATATTGTTGCCTCTTGATTTTTTTGTAAGTTGTTTATAAGACAATGAAACTTGAAACACTTGGCATTTCCCACTAGACAGTTCTATAAAATATAAAATTTGGTAAAATTAAACAAACCCATTATATAATAACCAAAAATATTAATATTGCTCACCATTTTGACAACTTCTATATGCCTTCCATTATCTTTAACATATGTTTCTGCACCAACCACATAATTTTGTTCCCTACGTACTCTGTTCTGATAATAACCAGAACTACTATTTTTTATCATGCTGGTTGTGGTTTTTGACATCATGTGACTGTTCAAAGCAATGTTCTCTGTACTAATACTATCAAGGGGCATCTCTTGAACTCCTGGGCGTACTGGTAAACCTAATGGATTGACTTGTCCTTGAATCATAAAACACTCTCCACCACTTATTGCTGAACAATTATAAAAGAATACATTTTTTTTATTAAAAAGTTATATTCAGTATTTTTCTTTGTCTCAACACATACCTTCAACATACGGTTTTTCATCCAGGTACAGCAACCATTTTCTTGGAGTAAAGTGACTGGCTACCTGATAGGGCCATTCAATATTTACTATTAGGTTAGACACTTTCCAGGGACCGGAATTAAACACTTGATAAGTGTGCAATACTCTGGAACCAACTTCATCACGATACTTGACAGACTTATCGTCTTTCACTTGACCACCATAAAACACTTGTTCTGGACGTGCTAACCTAATATAGATTATAATAATAACATTATTCTAATATAGCCCATTTCAAATTTTTAGTTGTGTACAATTACCCCTTCAATGATAATTCAGCTTGTTTAATAATATTGGCACGCAAAATTAATGGACTCTGGGGTTCAACTTCATGTGATGTAGAGTTAGAAATCACAATAAACTCCAATTGATTTTCAGAATCATTCAGTTCTTTTGGATCAAAGCGCAATTGGATATTAGACATCGCAGATTTCTTAAATGGATTTCCAAGAGCACAAACAACTAATGTTTTGTTGAATGGATTACAATCCACTTGCTTTGTCTAAAAATATAAATCATTAATTTTCACTTATAAGAAATGGTTTTTGATTGTTTAACTTACGTCTTCTAATTTCACAGTGCCTATGTAATTAAACGAATAAGGGTGAACAACAAACATTCTACTTTCATATGCAGACTCTCCCTGGTTGTATGCAGTTGTATTTAAAAGTATTTCAACATGCTGACCTATTACTAATTCATATTTATCATCTGAAAACGAACCAAAATAAAATAAAATACTATTGATCACAAATGTGAAATGAGTTAGAACATTATATTGAAATTATAAATCAATCGAATAAAAATAAAAACCTATTGGATTAAGTTATTAAAATATCACAGTATTCAAGACATAATAGTAGATATTAATATACCTGATGTTCTAGGTAACAACAATTCAGCATTCACATGTACTCTACTTTCACATCGATCATTATTCCCACAGTCTTTATGGAATGTGGCTAAAAATGTTTTTTCCGCTTGGTTTTGATTCAATACCGGCAAATCATCTAAGGAAGGTACTGGATCGCCAGGTCTTAGAACAGGAACATCATTTTGTACCAGTGAATATGAAATATGCATGGCAATTGGAGACTGAATATCCATTGTATTCTCCTATGACAGGATCATAGTATAAACAAATAATGGGTAGAAATTAATTGCAATAAGTACCTTTATGTAAGCTGTGTGTTGTTGGCAAGTTTCTTTTTTGTTGTGATCCACAGAGACAATATTTTCAATTGTTTGAGACTTTGTCGTATGATCTGGTCCAAACCAAACCCTAGAAAACTTACGACCTTCTTGAAACGTTTCAGCTTCCAATCTATAACGCATCTGAATGCCCCATTCTCCATCAGACCTAGCTTTGTTCACAGATTCCAACGTACAACAAGTTTCGAATGTAAAACTGTACAAATTAAAAAAAAAATTTTTAGTTAAATCTTAAAAGATAAAGCTGTTTAAAAAATTATGCTGTTCTACCATGTAACTGAAGATGTTATGTTAGCTGAACAACCCGTTTTAGTGGGATCGATGTTCCGAAGTTTTTCTGGAGGTCGAACCTCAATTTTTATGTCTACAATTGGCCGAGCTCTAATCAATATAGCCATATCACTCTCATAAGCGCCAGATATTAAATCTGGGTAACCATTTTGATCTAAATCCACTCCATTACCACTTAATGAATATCCTAGTGTTCGTATTTTAAGATTCTCTACCACTAAATCTTCTGCTCTAATTATCTAGGAATATAAATACAAATAGGTAAAGCACATATTCTTTTAAATTGCACGATATCAATTATGTGTTAATAGTCTAATAGAAAAAAATTGAACTAACTTGTGAAGGTTCCACAATGATTCCATGATCTGAACCTTGATAAATGTAAATAACTCCATTTCCTTCATACGGTGCACCAATGGCTATGTCATCATACCCATCTTTGTTCAAATCTCCTAGATTAGTTATTGCAAATCCGAATCTAAAAATTTGATGAATGATTGATACATATACTTAAGAACTGTATAATATTTAGACTTAAACCTGGATTCTGGTTTCCCGACAAGTTTAATTGGTGATTTGCAATTAAAACAATGATCTTTATTGTTCATATACACATAAACAGCTCCACCAGTATCTTTTGTGAAATAAAATGGTGCACCAACTATTAAATCTGGTTCCCTGTATTAAAATACACAAATTATAATTACTAATATTCAATTAATTTTATAAATTAAGCTATGAAAATAATCTAATAAAGAAATATTTACACATGAATGACTATGTACAACTTTAAAAAAAAATAGTTAGTTTAATGTTAGTTTAAGAATAAAACAATTTGAACAAAAAATTTTTATAATTAAAACTACTACATACTTGTCTCCATTGAGGTCAGCAGTTGCTAATTCATAACCAAAACTGGAAGCAAATTGTTCTCCACTAATAATAAGTCTTGCATCCATCAAATTTACAGACGGTCTTAATTTAGTAAATAGTACAACCTGGCCTGTTCCATTAGCACGCGGAGCGCCAGCTGCATAAGCCATATTAGGTTTACCGAAGAAATAGTCAGCGGTAGTAGACATACCTAAGAAATTAAAAAGAATTATTAAAACGTATATTTTAATAGAAATATTATATTCAAATGTTTCACAAAAAAATAATTACCTAAGTAACTATGGCTATCAACAGGTGATACTTCATTATCTCGAACCGGACTGTAGTAGCAGGTTTTATCTCTATGTAAGAAGTCATCCGATACACTGACCATAAATACATTGCCTTTCCAATTATATGAGCCAGGTGAGCCAATAACTACCGTATCATCGTTTAACAACATTCCACTTGTGCCAGCTTGACAATAACCAAATTGTGCTTGGCCCCTAAATCACAATCATACATTAATTAATTAGTTTAAAATAAATGAACAATATTTTGATATTGTACTTGTATTATTAAAATATTTTTAAGCAACATACTTTTCTGTCTCTCGACCTTTACATGGCTCCCAACATTCAACAAAATCTAAGTTTTGTGTCAAAGTATAGCAAAGGCCTTGTCCCCATTGATATTCATCACCTCGATTTATGTATCGATGTGCACACACCTAAAATGTTTATTCATGTATTCAGACATAATTTCTTTAAAAACAATATATGACCAAAAAAATAAAAAGGCAACCCCAAAATATTTTTGTGGAATGATTTTTGATTTAAATGTAGGTTTTTTCATAATGTTGACAAAATCTGTAAAATCAGAAATTTGTTATGATGTCCCCACCTTAAAAAAGAACGCCCCCCCCCATGGACGAAATTTAAAATCATTCTACTATCACATTTTAGTAAGAATACATTTTAATTTTAAAAATTATTTTCTAAACGGTAAAATAGATAAATTAATTTATTGTTTAATTAATCATAAAGTGAAAATATGTTATATGAATATGATTTAATAATACCATGACTTTTCCACCACGTCCTTGACTTCGTACAATTACGCCTAACCATTGTCCATCTTTAATTTCATCATTCTTGGGTGGAGAGAGTTTTGTAGAATCAATAGCTACAGAAAAATATAGAATTAAAATCATATTTACAAATACTCAAAATTACATTTTTGCTGGATTATTGAAGCGTATTAGGTCTACTGTGTACAACAAACTGTATACACACAATAATGATTTGGTTAATTCCTGTATGATGATTTCCATATTTATCTTCATTGTATGACAATATGGTGAGTATATTACACCTTAAGAATATTTACACCCAATAGCTAAATCAAGTTAAATACACATAAATACACCTTGAACATCCAATTAAACCCATTTCAATAAAAAAAAAACCATGTTTATTACAAATTTGAATACCTTAAATGCAATAACACTATCATGCAATGAAAATATTCAGGACTTGTTTTTAATGTACATTATTTTATCAAGCTATCTACATAAAAGTAGTTTCAAAATACATAATAACATACAATGAAATTTAATTTGTATGGTAATGTTTTAAATAAAATACAATCATAATTAAATTACCACATCATATTACACAAATATCAAAAAATGTTTAGTATAATATTTACACGTATATACTGTAGTTTATTTTTAACCACTACTAGTCACTTTTGATTTTTGGTAAACATTAATACTTTTCCCCAACCCCACACCAATGCAATTTATTTAAATATTAATTTATAATTTAAGATAACATAGGACTGGGATTGTAAATTGCAATGCCCTAAAAAATTGCAGAAAAGGTAGTAAAAAACTACAAAATGCCTTCATTAATCTTTAAACATGCAATGTAGAAATGCATTTTAAAATTGATTTCTGAGTTTAAAAATTATATAATAGTAATGAGTGGTCAATTATTGATCAGAAGACACTAAAATATAAATATGTATCGCCCATAAATTGTTTGAATACTTCAAATTTATTTTCGGAATTTAAATCAAAAATCTTAAAAGAACTGATCGATTTACATTAGACACTAGACTAGTGTTTCCCAAAAACAAAAATTTTGGTACTGCATAGGGGGAGGTGGTGTTGAAATGGAAAGAATAAAATACCTACAACATTTAAATATTTACAATCAGTACAATATTAATAATTAATAAGTTAATATTTTGTTATTTTAGACTGTTGACTGTGTTTTTGATAACACAATAATTATAATGATTACAATATTGTCCTATCGCAGGTTAGGTTAAAAATTATTTGGTTACCTATAATGTATAACTATTTTGTAATTGATCTCATATTACTGTTTTTGATTAAAACCTTTTTAACGTCATTAACTTTTTTAATAAATTTAAAGTGATTTAGGGGAAGCATGACATTTTTGAAAATCTACTAGGGCGTGTAATAAAAACAATTTTGGAAACGTTGCACTAGATATATTAAAGAATTCGAATCAGTTTTCAAAAGTTTTATCGCATTATTAGAGCCACCGGTAAGATTGACATAAAGTACGTCATACAATAAATTATACAAATCATAGGTCACGCTGCGGCGGTGACAAGTGGGTTAAGGAGCACTCCACTATTTATTTCACACAATGTCACACGTCGTCAGTCACACACACTGTCTACCTAATGAATAATGATCAGTTACTACGCACACGTTTACACGACCTACACGGAAAACCTTGGAAAATTGCCTATATTTAACTCCTTAATACGGTCGGTTTCGGATCCCCTCAATATAAAAGCAATAAGTTTCAGGAAATATAAATAGAAGGTATTTAAATTAAGACTTTGAAACGTTTTGAAGCAGATGCAATTTTTTTTAAGACTACGTTTTTTGTGTTTTGTCAGTCTTGCAACGTATCTAGGGTGTAACACAATGTCTGGAAGGAACGGATTCCTTTTTATAAAAAGAAAACGAGAAAATGAACGAGTTCTTTTTTTCGAGGAAAAATAACAAAATTTTTCTTTCCTTTTTAGTTTCAATAATTCACACAGATAACTGATAAGTATGTAAATAATTGAAATTAAGATATATTTTTTTTAATGGGTATAATGTATATTTCCGATTAGTGACCGTTATCGAGTATCGACATCACTAGTCGCTTTATTAATATTTCTCATAAGTTATAATTTTTATAGAAATGAGTAGATACCTATCTATATAAAATATAATTATTTATAACAATAAGCGATAAGGTATTATTTTTTTTAAGGAACGAATAACGGAAAAAGTTCTTTTTTTTAAAAAAAGAACGAGGAATGGAATAAATTAATTTTTATAAGGAACTGGTGCAAGTCGTGCAACATGATTAACAGTATAGAAGAGTAAATAAATATAATATAATATAGTCATCCTGACTAAATTATCCAGTTGAGTCATTGCTATTTCTTATAACTGATGATTATGAATATCTCGGGCTCTTAGCATATCATATTATTATGACTAAATGTGACTAGTACAAATAAAATTTACACCAGTACAACTTAAAAATAAATTAAATACCAGTGATCACATAAATTAATAAAACAAAAAGCACTTAAAGCCCGATAACTTGTACAGCACAATAATGTGCGTACTGCGTATGTGGATGTGATAAGTTCACATAACCGTAATAAAATCGATATCTATTTTTAACGGCCGAAATACCAATAAGGAAAACAAATTATTATGTAGGTATATAACTAAAGAAAATACCTAAGATAAAAATGGATTGAAAAATGCAATTATAAACATATTTAAAAACGATATATTTCTCAAGGTCTTGTAATTATTCGCCTGAAAAAAACAGACTTAACTCTTATCGTATATAATGGTGCAGCTTCCCGAATATGTTGAATTTCAAATTGTGTTATCTTTAATATGAAGCAAATGTTTTAGACAGATGATTTTTTCTTTTTGTGAATTGTTGTTTATGACAAATACGTACAATACGATTTAAAATTTGAATATAGTTCTACTATCGATTAGTTAATTAAAAGAGTCAACAGTAGATCGTGGATTTATATGCATGTCAAATATAATGCCCTGAGAAACCTTAAATATAATATAATATACACTAAAATGTTCAAGTATGCATAAGCATAATGCATGAAAAAACCATTTATTCCCAATATTCGACAAAAAAAATTATGGGATACTAAATAAAAATAAATAACTTATACTATAAATACTTTTCTCAAACATATCTGACTATCTGAGTTTTTTGGATAGTTTTAATCTATGAGAAGAAAATAGGAATCAATTAATATCAAATATCAATATTATAAGGAATCTGAGATCGAAATCGATATTTTCTTATTTTAGCATTCGTATATTATTAATCAAAGATTATATTTGGGAAATTCGTTAATAATTACGAGTATAGTAGTATACTGTATAGTCATAGTGTATAACTATTAATTTATTTTAATATTAATCGAAACTATAAAAATATAATTTTTTTTTTTTATTTTAATGGTAATTATTTAAAAAATGTCTAAACAACAAAACAAAACAAAACACCAAAATATGTAAAATATGCACTAGAAAAGTTTCATAGATGAAATCATTATGCTATGAATCAAATGTTATGCTAGATTAGCATATCGTACGATTAACCAGAATAATAAATATGCAAATGCATACAAAACCGAGCTCTAGACTATACTCTTATTCATCAGTAATAATAATAAAAATAGTTCGTAAAATAGCAATGCAATACACATTAACGATTAACACATTTTAAACTTACTTTTTAAAATAATTGTAAAAGCCAAAAACATTTTTTAATAGTATGTACATTTTACTTAGTACATAGTTATACTTGTATAGCATATAAAGCAATAACAATTACCTAAAATTTGAATAATATAATATATTGAAAGTGCCTTGTTTAAATTTAACAATTCTATATTATATTATTATACCAACATAAAATATTATAGGTAATATAATCTTTGATTCAAAATCAACACGATTTAAAATTGTATAGCTATGCACACCCTGAAATCAACTAAAAACAGTTTTTGTGAACTAGAAAAGGCGTGCGTTGTGTATTTAAATACTACGACAACCCGCATTCGTTGTCTCTGCCGACTGTCATTCACACACATAAGTACACAACATAATAAATTTACGTTCCGCAAATATTATCCAACACAGTTTTATTGTTTTTATTTTATTATATTAGATAAGTGTGCTTACTATCAAATATCAAACATAAATAATATAACATTAACCATGCTCTCGTAGGATCTTCCGATATTTTTATTATAAAACAAGCTATAAGTATTTTTTTATTGTTATATTCTATTTCTAACTTCTATCTAATTATAAACTCACTTCAGAATTGAAATATCTAAAAAAAATCCGGGTAGAGAGATCGGATTATGTAATATGTTTTCTGTTAACATATTTTAAGTTTCGTAGTAGATAAATTTACTCTAATATCAAAAACAAAAAAAACTGCACCGGGATTGAGAAACGTACATTTAGTGTGTATAATGTATTTTTATGTAGTTATATAATGTTCCTGTTGTGCGAGAGTAAACACCGAGACAACGAATACGTGTGTGCTGTGTAGTATACTCTTAAAAAAATGATTATGCAAAAACCTATTTTGTACATAAAGCACATCGATACCTACCTACTTAGTCATTATTAGAATTATAGTTTTTCTGTAATATTAAATAATGAGTAACAAAAATACTAAAAATAGATGAATTGACATTAAGACTTTCAGCCATTGTTTTAAACATTTATATCACGTTCTAAAATAAAATTACATTTTCAGGATGTATGCATTATAAATCCTTAAGTAAACATGCATGACGCTTACTACCTATCAACGGAAACTGTACAAGCAAACCTTTCTTTACAATAAATGAAATGCAGCTTCGTCAGTATTTAACGGTTGAAGGTCAAACTACGAAATAATATTGGTAACGTGCATACAAATATTGGTCGTATCGTCAAATAAAAAATAATCACAAAATATGTGTACGTGCATTTCACATGCCATTCAAAATCACGTATTTATTGCTATTAATTATTATATACAAATGACTGTTAAGCCATGTCGCTAAAATTGAATTCAATTCACATGACATCATACATACATTCATGAACGTTTTTTTTTTTTCAAAGCATTTAAACATAATTTTCATGCCATATTGTGCATCATAATCATGCAAAAAAAAATATTTATGATAGCCATAACATTACAATTTACAACTTAATAAAGTTTATTTAAATTATTATAATTTATATTTGATAATAAATTAATATACCTACAAGGAGTTATTCAATTTTTTTAAATTAAACTAAATTAAAATTAATGTTAAAAATGTATAAATATTAAATATAATAAAGCTGAAAATAAAAATGTATAGGTACATTAATATGTAAGTGTTCTTCTGCCTTAAATATAAGTCTATAAATTTCAAAACGTTAATATAAACTAAGTGACATTAAAATCACAAAATATATCTATGACCTAAAAATTCAAAAATCTTTAAATATATAAAAACATGAACAAGAATGGTACGAAACATTTTGTATGTATTGTATTCATTGTACCCACTACCCACCCACTTACTTAGTATACAAAACGATCAACAAGTAAAAATATGCAAATGCATACAAATCTAAGTCTTAATATCAACAATCCTAAGCTTGAATTTTTTTGTAAAGTTTTTACATCCAAAAATATATAAATCTTAAATATACGCCAGTATCCAAAATAAATTAAATAATAAAGAATTATTATTTTATGTGGACATTTATACAAAACAAAATATAAATAACCCAACCAGAATTCTTAATAAAAAAATTAATTCCTTTTGTTAGCATCTTTATTCTTTACTTAAGATATCTCATTTTAAATTTGAACCCAACATACACGGATAATCTAAGAAAAATTAACTAATACACATAACTATTGTAAAGAAATAATTTCAATTGTACCAGAAATTGAGATTGCAATAATACATAGGACCAGAAATATTATATTATAGAACTACTTTTCATCTTTTTTTTTTATTTAGTAATCATAAATTTGAGATATAAGGTGATTATTTTAATAGCGATGTTGAGTTAAAGATATGGCAATAGGTTTTCCAAAAAAATATGTTCCATTAGGTACTCCATTCATAAAATCTAGAAATTATTCTTCATAAATAAAATGCTGTTGTATATTCAATATATTTTATATGCAGTGAGTGCCGCAACTACTTGGATTACTGAGGAACACTTCAATTTAGAACATAAAGTCATACAGGACAGATTGGATTGAATATAATTATAGCATATAATATACATATATCACACTGTCATCAATTTATTACACTAATTTTTACCCTAGCCATACTATATTTCTCTAATTTATAGTATTTAAATTGTGTATATTTTTGTATTATTATAATAACTATAATGACTTCTCGTGGTAGAGTTAAAAACTTTATAGTTTGTGTGATACAAAAATATCTATTGAAACCATAGGTAATATAAGAATGGATAGGACATAAGAACTTATCACTAGAAAATATAGTGATACATTTTTAATGTTATATGGGACAAATATTGATATGATAATTGATAAATAATAATAAATAACATTAATGATTAATTAGTAATAATTAACAATCTATATTATTCTATATTCTAATTACAATTAATTATGTACTCAAAGTTTAGAGTAATTTGAGTATTCCAATTTTCAATTTCCAATTTCCATTTTCAGGCACAACAATCAAAATACAAATTTGAAATAGAGAAATATTGTAAACAGTTTTTGGATATAACTTTAAAAAAAGCCCCATATCGTCTTTCTCTCTTTACGTTCTCTCTTCCCCAAAAAAGCACACAATCCCATATGAAACTGGTAGAGGCATGTCCTATCCATTCTTATATTATCTGTGATTGAAACCACTAAAAGAGCTAACATAAAAGAAAACCGAGTAAGTACTTAATAGTTTATTGTATACAGGGTGTAACAGATAGAACTGACTTTTGGAATAACTTTTGTTATGATCATTATTTTTAATTTTTTTTTTTTATACATAATTTGTATACACTTGTTCTACACGTGTAAGAGGAAAAAAATTATTTTTATTTTTTATACTAAAAATAAAAAATTTTAAATTTGACTTAAATTTTTTTGAATAAATTCAAAATAGCAAACTTGTGAATCTGATTTTAAGAACGATTTGGATGGTAAAAACATTTATCTAAGTCTAGTAGTTTATTTTTTAGAATTTTTTTAAATATCAATATTTTTTTGATAAAATAAATTTGGAACGCAATAGCTTTTTTAAAAATATTATTTTTGGAAATTTTATAACATGGGTATATTCTTAAAACTATTTACTAATCATATAATTTCAACAATTTTTGTCATACATTTAAGTAGCATCAATTTTTTTTTTTTTTTGGTCAGTTCTTTCTGTTACACACGGTATAGTAAAACTTGTATTTGTCTAACAAAACTATTAATATTAGGTATGTATCATAATACTGTTACAAAATGTATAATTTATTAAAATATTTTTTAATAGACTACTAGAAGTAAAAACAATAATTCTACTCTCTATGATGATTAATACTCAACCACAGTAAAAAAATAGTGATACATTGAGGAAAAATTATTTATTTTGAAAAATGAGGAACTTAATAAGAGATGTTATTTATTTTTTATTTCAATTCAAAAAGTGATGTTCTTATTATAATTTTAAAATTATAATATTATTTTGCAATAGTAGTAATTTAATATACAACTAATTTGTTATATTTTATTGTAATAATTCAATGTTAATAATGTAACATTCAAGAGACTGAAGTTGTTAATTTTGTAAACTAAATATTATATTATGTTATTATTTTATTTTGTAGCTTAAGTGTTTTTTAGATCAACATCAATGTATTTAATAATATTATTAAATTAATTATATCATAATTTTTAATACTTCATATATATTATGTTTAAAGCCAATTAATATTAAAATCAATTCAAAAGGTAGAGTTATAAAGACATAACTAGAACATTTTTAAATTTTGTTCTTTCAAGTTTAAATCACACAAAAGTAAAGTTATTTACAAGGATAAAAATCACTTGATTATAATCACAACAAAATTATAAATATGTATTTCCCCTTAACATTATTTTTTGTTTGATGAAAAAATTGTCATTTTATTTTAAGCATTAATTTTCCTGAACTTTTGCTTTTTTTAAGTTATGGCCTTATTGTTCTGACAGTGCGATATTGTGATTATGATCTAACTGAGTTAGTGTATTATGATACCTACCAAACCGACTATTTAAAACTGATAATACCTTCATAATTGCGGCACCGTTTATAAGTCAACTTTTTTTGAAAAGTATTCTGCTTTAAATAGTGAAACTAAAAATATCGATTGCCATTTAAAAGCCATAAGTTGTTTTACCAACAACTATTAAAGTGACCATTGGCCAGTATAAAAAAAATGGTAGAATTACATGTAGCTTGAATTTTTCAATAGAAAATTTTCAAAATAATGTAACACTTATTGAAATTATAAGTGTTCAATTTAAAAAAAAAATCACACTGTATACACAAGGATAAATTTATATCAAATTTACTATGGGAATTCAAAAAATGTTTTTGTTGTTTTTAACTTTGGTGATATAAATTATAAAATACAATATTTATGAACATAATTGAATTGTGTAATAATTGTACATTAAACATCCAAGTAAATAAATAATTGAACAAGTATCATAAATCTGTATAAGTTATTCATATATATGATACTAATAAGTTAAATTGAAAATAGCTGTAATATAAAATGCATTGAAAGATATAACAGCATTTTAATCATCAATGACTAGCCAAAAGATTATTTAATACTTAGGAAATAGTACCTTACCTAACCTAACTAAACATTTATATTTACTAGTTTAAGTAATTAAATTGTTGCGGAAATATACTGAAAGTATTATAAAATACCTACCTACTGTGTTTTGAGATAAATAATTATTTATATGAAACCCAATAGTAACAATATTGAATGCTTGCAAAAGTTAATTAAATAATAAATATACATTTTAAGCTTAATATTACACATAACAGTGCAGTTAACTATTTCATACATCAACTTTGAGTCATGCGTTTATCAAACGTATTTTCTAAAAATATGATCAGACCATACTAATGTGATGGATTTAAAACTCCAACTAAATTAAGCAGTATTTACATGGCAGCAATGCTTGTTATATAACAATCAACAAAAAATTCATAAATATAATATATGAAATAGGCTTTAATAAATTATGTTATGATGCAACACATAACATATTAAAATGCAAATTGCAATAAACAAACCATGAACAAACACAAAAGTTACCATAATTTCACTTACAAGGGTCATAAAGTCCATTATTTGGGTCTGTTTTAAAAAAGAAAACAAAAATCATTATTATCAACTTCAAGAATTGTTCAACCTAATAACCTCAATTTTCATGAGATATTTTTAAGTTTACAAATTAACAATTATATAATTATTTATTATAATATAATAACATAGGTATAAAACTAACAATATAAATAACATTATCAAAGGTACCTAGTTAGTAAGTAATAAACCTAAATTTCTGGCAAAATTATTATTTTTATATCCCAGTCTACACATTATAAATTATAATATATATAAATATAATATTTACCAACTAAAAGTTAATTGTAACATTATTAATGTATTGGAAAAGAGCTTAGAAGTCACTCAATAGCAACACTTTTACAGTGATTACGATTGCCTTCTATTATTAGTGGGTTCAAACATTAATAATGTCCTAACAATGTGTCAGGGAGATCATTGAATAATAAATCTATAAAGAAAACTTCTCTGGATAAGGCGTCACATTTCACTTAGTCACTTAAATATCTTGATTCCAGAGCAAGATTTGTTATGACCATAATTTTGTCATTTCTGACATTGTGCAATGAGTCATTTTTTGTAGGGTTCTTTTTTTTACCTTTGATATTTCTAATTTTAATATAGTTAACTATATGTATAAAGATTTTTCCAAATAAAAAAAGATGAGTACTTACTTCGCTTTCCATCAGTAACAACCTGTATGCAATCATCATGATATGATGTCAATGGACATTTGTATAAAGCACCAGACTGGTTAGTTTTCGGTTGTAGGTTTTTACCTATTGGAGCCCCAACCAAAATCCTGAAAAACAATAAAAAAAATTGGTATATTTTTACTAAATATTTTAACAAAGAAAAACAAAATCATTTGTTTAGAAAATGGTTCAAGGCATTCACGCTTTCACACATTTGTTTGTAGATTAAATACAGAATTACATTTATAAAGAAAAATCAGGTAACAAAGCTGACAACAAAGTACACTAACCAACTGTTTTCGACTTGTAACTTTATCTCGTCGTACGACTGGTGTCCGGCCACAGAATATCCGAAGTATGATACTTCCAGGGAGCGTTTAACGATTGGCAGCCTCGTCTCCAGGTTGAAGCCATGGGCCCGGAATGCAGAGTGGCACAGCAACAGCAGCAGGGACAGCGACAAAGACATCATCGAGGCCGCGTTTGGATGAAGACAATCAACGGCTGTGAGCACGGTGGCGGTATCGGCTGGTGGGTCAGCAGCCCAACCACGACAACAGCGGTCTGCAGATCCGGCTCCACGAAGCGGTCATTGTCGGATCAGAAGAGCGAAGTGCGCCTCCCAGCCGATGTGTCCTGGAAATGTCAGCTCGCAAGTATGGTCGCGGTTACCTATGATACCGAGATTACTTCCTGACGACGACTTCCCAGGGGACACCTGTCGGACGGACCAGAACGACAATCGTTGAGGGCGGTGTATCGGTTGAGATCGGGACGATCGCCGAGCTAGGAAAGAGAAAAGGAAAAAAATAATAAAAGATAACGATAAACGCGTTCGGGTACGGCGCGGTCGAGTGCGACAACGACAACCTGTGCGTGTCGTGTGGTGCGCGCGCCGTCGTCGGCTTATTATTATTGTCGTGCCGCGGTTCGTGTGTACCGCGACCCCCCAACCGTTCGTGTTGTACGTGGGCAGCGCCGGTCATAAACAATGAGCCGCCGGGCGACACGGCACTACAGCAACAGCAGTTATCAGATTGTTTGTTCGGACTTCGGGCGGCGGACCGTCCGATTGGCCCACTCCCTCACCGACACCGCCACCCGTGGGGCCGAGGAACGTTGTCATGACGTCGCGTACAAGTGTACAACACGACTTATGTAACGACGACGATGATTATATACTATAACGTTACAGAGTATAATATTATTATACTACAGTACAGTACTGCAGTGTATTTTAATAATTATATATTTATGGTTACGCCTTGCGCGATGGTATAGCGGCTATACGACCATGTATATTAAACATATTATTAATTAATAATTATTATTATGGATACCCAGTGTCTGCATTCCTATATCTAGTATATCTTCACTAAACTTAACGGAGAGAGAAACCATGATTGTCACTCGCACTGAAGCTTTTGAGAGATAAAGAAACCAAAAAGAGAGAAAACAGATGCGACCATGTTACGGTTAACATGTGGTGCCTCAATGGTATCAGTTTTGTTGGCTAAGCCAACTTGGCTTACAGATTTTTTACATATTTGTATACACTACCACTAAAGTACTATTACTATACCACAGTTTCCCAATCATTTTGGTATGTTGGTCCACAAATATTGGATGTAGGTAGTAAGATACTACGATTAAAGATATACTTTTTGTTGGATAGGCGTCAGGCGACTTCCCCTACTAAAAAAAAATCAAGGATATACCTACCATAATTTATAATGTAGTAACATCATACCAATAATTGTTATTATTTTCAATTTGATCATTAATTCGTATCGATATAATATGCAATACAGAATAATGCATAGTAAATAGTAATAGGTATTTAATTCTGTTAAAAATATGGATTGTTTTTAAATTAACATTTTTAGTGAACCATTAAATTTAATAAATTGTTTATGCAACCTAGCATGTGGTACCTAGTTAAAAACACAAATTGACATAATATAATAATAAAATTAATTTAGTTTGTACTCTCGTATTCACTATAGAATACAGTATGCCAGCATCCATAGGCAATTCACAACATAAATGGGTAGAACACCGTTGTTTCTGCCATGTGTATGGGGCTATATGGAATAATATTATAATATTTATTTGTGTGTGCCTGCCGAGTACAGGGGAGCACTGGGTGCTATAGTATTACTATATAGTGTGGTACACAGAACACGCTGCAGCCTGCGCCCTGCAGTGCAAACGAGGCGCTGTACCGCGCGTGCCGCCGTCCCATCGGCAGTACAACGAGTTGTACGGCCAACGATAAAACTGTATAAAAGAATACGACAACGACGTCGGTCGACGCCCGATGGACCGCTGGATGCTGAATAGGCATTGGATTATTTATATTATTATTATTATATTGCGCGGCTGCGATACATTCGACATTCCTATGTTTTTACTATAGTTCCTACTTCCTAGTGTTCACTGTTCACACTTCCTATGTATATTTCTTTCCATTTCGTGACCGGTCGTCGTTCCGAACGACTCGTTCGTTTATTAAATAATTGTGAAATCATTATCGTTGTGTGCGCTTAGCAGTCAACGGCGTAGTGCCGTAGTTCCAAGCGACTGTGCGTACATAAATTATTTTCGATAAAAAAAAACCTATTTAACTCTGAAAACATACAAATATTATCACTGCATATTGAGCTCGAAAGTTATAGAAGTTAAACATTTCAAATTTATAAAATATGCAAAAGAAAATTATTTAAAATCAAGTACAAAATATAACGTTAGTAAAAATTATTATCAATTAATATTAACGTCGTCGGTCGGTATAAGTACCTACTACCTATACATACCCACATAGCCGACATAGGTATTAATTAGGTATCTACCTACCTAAAATATTGTATTTTTTTACAAATAATAGCTATTGACTACTAAATAGATGTATCAATACAAATATTATAAATGAAAAATTTGGTATCAATATACAAATCTTGAAAAAGAAAATTTAAAAGAGAAAAAAATCAATAACCATTTAAAAAAAAACCATAAAAATTATATACCAATTAAAAACCATTTTAATAATTGAAAGTCAACTGTGTGGATAGACAATTTAAATTTGGAAAGGGTGTTATTTTGCATTGTAGGTAAGTAAGATTTTTTTTATAAATTTAACTCATAAAGAGGTGGGAGGGCAAGCCCAGATTAAGATAATTTTGTGCCCGGGGCCAAACGATTTTAGGGGCCCATTAACATAATCAAAATATTGGTGACCCACAAATAAATATATTTCAGAGTTAACATTTTTTTTTACTTTAGAAGTAGGTATATTATATATTTAATTATTTTCATTATTAAAAAAAAATGTGGGTAAGTGGATGTCGCTCTGCTGTACAGTAGGTTACAAGTGGGTCACTGTATAATGGATGCTATTAAATTTGAATTCAATGATACAATATCATTGTATAAGAAAAACGATTCTGAGCGAAGACGGTATGTCAGTCTAGGTTTAAGACATAGGTATAGGTATATACCATATATCTATGGTATTAAAAAAAAAATTGACCTATAATAAATTCCAAATTAATCATATCACAATATCCATTAGGTAGGTACTTATAAGCGTTATACATCAACAACAAACCGTGATACTATCATAGATATTATATAATAGTGTACCTACTTTAGAAGTTTCAAGTACCCATGAATAATATTATACAATCACAACAAAATAACTAAAATAGTTGTTCTAGGTTTTTTATTATGTAATTTCATCCAAATTTTAACTTAAAATGACTGTAAAAATAAACTGTGCTACTGTATTTTTTAGATTTTTTGGTTACAGTATGAACTATTTATGAGAACCTTTGTTTTGAATTTGCAATCCTTAGCTATAAAAACTGAACATTTTATAATTTATTAATTACAATGATTGATAATTTTCGAGATTTTTATAAATTTTGTCAAAATTCGATCTTTAAATGCTTATAAAAAAAAACTGTGCCTATGTATTTTTAATATTTTTCAACTGATATTGTAACAATATATCAGGAGTCTTGAATTAAATTTTTACACTTTTTGGCCCAACAGAAAAAACTTTATTGATATTTATATCCAATGTTGTAAAAATTTGAATTTCAAACGCTCATAAAAATTTAATTTGACTTTCTTATAGACATTTTTTTTTTTTGTTAAAGGTAGATAATCTTATAAGGAATCTTGTATTACATTTTAAAATCTTAGATTTAAAAAGAAAAATTTTTACGAATTCTTAACTCAAAATAATTTGCTAATTTTCGTGATTTTTCCATATTTTGTCAATTTTTGAACTTTAAATGCTTATAAAAAAAAACTGTGACTAAGGATTTTTAATATTTTTCATCTGCCTTTGAAACAATATACTAGGAGCCTTCTATTAAATTTTCAAGCTTTCGCAACCAACAAATAAAATTTTATTGATATTTTTAGGAAAAAAACTAAAAACAAATGAAAAATTAAAATGTCCCTAAACAGTTCAAAATAAATCAAAATATTTTGAAAATGTTATTGTGTATAGAAAATGCAAATATAAACAACCAGTGAAAATTTCATGTTTCTACGGTCATTTCTTTTAAAGTTACACCATAAACCAAATTCAATACGACTACTTATCGTGTACACAGACACAAAAATTAAAAAAATATATATTTAAACACACATCATTGTAAAATCAATACATTCATCGTTTCACTCAGAATCTAAAAATTTTTTAATAAAATGTAAATGTTTGAACAATGAACATTAGTATACAGAATAAATTATAAATATTTTTGTATGAAGGCTTTCATTATTCTAGGTATAATATTCAAAAGTTTTACATCAAAAATTAAATTATTTTGTTTTCATTTTTATCAATATTATCATAGGCAGATATTGGGGGGGGGACTTGGAAGGCTTAAGCTCCCCCTGAATGTAACAAACCACACTAGATGTCAAAATAAATTGTGTATTTTAATATACCTATATAAATTTGGTGCCTCTGCTATAATAAAGTAGATGTTCTGAGTAGCCACTAGTTAGTACCTAGGTATTGAAGCGTTTAAAAATGTATGTTTACGCTAATGGATAAGACAAAATGTTAAGCCCCCCACGGATGTGATCAAATATCTGCCTATGAATATTATAAACTGTACCTAAAGGCTAAAATTGTGTAAAATTAATTAATTAATATTGTAACAGACTCCCTACTTACAACTTACAAGCGATTGCTTATATAGAGTAGGTAATGTTAATTTAAATGTAAATGTTATTATTAACTATATTAAGAAGTTAAAATAAATTATTATGATTAAAAGCAGTTTTATAGCCAAATCTATATTACCTAGTAATAATGATTCTATCATCATTCGTCGTAAATTCATAATCGACGGTATTCACCATACTCACTACTCAGGTATTCCTATAAATCCCATTTCCTTACCAATTATCTTCCTGCTTAAAATAAACGACATTGTCGATATCACGATAGCA